ACCAAAGCATCTCCCGGGGATCGAACCCACGCCAGAGAGGTAAATGGATTAGAAGTCATCGACTCTAACACCTCGACCACGGAGGCGGTTATTTATTTTTTTTTCAGGATAATGCGCATAAATCTGGATGCATGCTGCTGTAAGTAATAAACAAATCCATCGCATCACTTGATATGAAGAACCAATATAAGTATATTGATGAAGTTTATAGCTGTCTTACGGGCACGCTCATATATGTTTCAATTCCATTATTAAAGTTAAAGCGTTTACACATTGATCATAATATTGTGTGGCTATAGTCTAGTCAACATTTATGTCAAGTTTCATCAGTATTGAAGCATTTTTCATAGTTTCATAGCAGTTTGAACTTGTTACAGGAGGCTTTTCAATGAAAACGGTCATTTATCGCAATATGCTTATGGGATAAAAGGTTAATAAGAAAAATAAAGAATTTCAAAAAACAACAATTTTTCACCAAAATTAGGTGTAAGGGCACGTGTTAACATGGAAAAACTAGTTTTTGGGTAATTCCAAGGTTTTTCATCATTTTTAGTTAAGTCCTTTCCCGTATATTTTGCCGAAAGTCAAACCGTTGTCCTTCTCAATATACCTTACCCGAATGATGAGGTTGTTTTTATTTAATTCCTAGGTGAATATTATAAGAGTAAGAAAATCATAAATATGTAAAGAAAATATGATTTTTTGCTTGTCATATGCACGACAATGGTGGTTTCACATGTTTATCCATGTTGAAATTGTATCTTTAACCTTTGAGGGAAATTCCCGATAAAGCTTTTCTAATATATTTATCAAATAATTAATTGACAAGAACCTTTTCATAGAACAGACAAACTGGTTAACCTGTGCTGTTAAGAACTGATCATTGTGGGTTTATAATGAGACAGACATCGTAAGTAGCTTATTATTAATCAGTTTCCTTTGTCATAACTTCTAAAAAAGTACAAAGGCATTAAATTTTGTCCTATCCCACCTGAATTGCTAATGCACAGCATAATCAACCCTTTTTGCTGTTTGGATTTCCGCCGAAATACTGTAAAGGTCACGCTATTGTTTCAGCTTTAATTAGAGAGGAAGACCTGAGATGCATGAATTCTTTCAGGCACAAAATGTTTGAGTGCTATACTAGTAGTAAGCTTTTAATATAATTACTTGATATTATATCTGAAAATTTGAGTTGTGCTTCTTCATGTGTTTGAAGTAAAATTAAAACAAACTAAGGTTATATATTGATTTAATCGGTGCAGTGATCATCCCTCATATAATATAAAGCTACTTTTTATGGAATTGTGTTAAGAAATTTACTTTATTGGTATCTTTCTGTTTAAAATTTTATCACTCATATCAATTAATGCATCTGTGAAAATTATCCCGAAGAAAAATGTCAAAAATTATATATTGATTTATCCAAATAGAACATTCTAACAAGTCTGAAAATATTGTCAAAGTAGAGTCGCGTACTGAAAATTAAACTAGGTATCAAAGGTGTCTTATTTAATTTCACTAAATACGAAATATGTATTAGTTGTATTGTCGTGTTTTCGCTGGGCGCTCCGTAAATTAGATATACGACATGGGACAATTCAGCTACCATAATCACTTTCGAATTTTGATCGCAATAGTACATTTCTGGCTTCTTTGTTTTCAGCTATATGCAGTGCATTATTACCAAATCAATTTTTAGGATTTTAATTTGCCTTTTGCTTCATTGGTTCTGTTGAAGTAACCAAAAGAAATTGACGAATTGACTTTGGAAATGCCGAGAGCTTAAGTAATATAAAAAGTAAATCTAGATTAATGAAATGACATTTAATGCAATGACATTATGAGTACAACCGGAAAATAGGACGGACACTGCCTTGGTTTTCATTATCGTTCTGTTGCAACTAATTTTCCATGAAATCATTGTAATATTGATATTCTGTAATAATTGTAATAAAGACACTTGATATTATTATACTACAGTGAAATCAGGTCATTTTTACATCAAATAGTAGTAGTTCTTTTTATGTTTTCTCTACAATATGCCAGAATATTCAACATATATCAAAGAAAAATGAGCTGAATAATCATACATTAAAGTACTTGAGGACAGGCGATATCATTTTTTATCATAACAATATGAAGATGTTCAGGAAAGTCTACTTAAACCACTAAGACCACTTCTTAAGTCAGCATGCAAGCTTGTGTTACTAACATATTTCTAGTAATCATCATCAAATATCGCAGTGTAGTTTAGGTCTGTACTTATTTCAAGACGAAGATGATTATAATTTCTGCTCTGCAGGGTGCCTCATAATGATAGCAGCTTCTTTCATTAGTGTCTTATAAATCAATCGACTGCCTGATGCAGCTTTTTACAAGGATTTTAGAAATGTTGAGGATTAAGATAATTAGATGAGCTTATTATGTAAGACTGATGAGATTAGACAATTAATAATATTATATTAAAACCAAAAGCAAGAATAAAAGTACGCTGATATTTTTTATTGTAATCCTTTCTCTGTATAGTGTTAGTTCACGTAATTAATTTGGCAGTATTTGAGCTATTTTAATGAGATTAAACATAATATGAATGCAATTAAGAAAGATATGACGACATTTGTATTGACATGATTATTAATTTCTTTAAGGGCTACAAATATATCTTAAACATGTGTAAGGAAAATTTTAATGATATTATTAATGTCAAGGTTGTTGTTGGCTTAGTTGTTTTTTACGTCCGACATTTTTTTCTACTTATTTATCTGGAATCAAATTATGAATCTTATGAACAAAATAATGATACAAAACTACCTACAATTAAAAAGAATGAAATACATACAAGACGGAATGCAGATACACTGTATGCCTACTTTGAAATAAATATATATTATGTAATAATAGAATAAATAAATTAATACTTAGGTAGGAACTAAAACATGTATCTTTTTTCTATGATTTTACACTCAACCATTTGTTTTAATCAGTTTAGTTACGTATAAGTTATTAGTATTCACTTAGCCAAGGTTGCATTAAATATTCTTTAATATATCCACCATCATGATATCAATTTGAAATAATAACAAAATCGTGGTTAGTTGGTCTGAAAACATCTTCGGATGTTTATACGTTCAAAATTTCATCTCTTTATTGTTGAAATGTTGAATTCAGCTAAAACCGGTTCTACGGTGAGTGATCGGTAACATACTTTTACCATTACTATAAGGCTGAACAAGTCAAAATAATATAATTATTCATCACATAAACAGCGGCGCAGGAGTGTAATAAAAACGATATTACACTGGTGTAATAACACTTTGACGTAACGCCATTTGCGTTATATATAAACATAGCGTTAAAGTGCGCTTATACATGTATTAGCGTTACACTATAGACTAACACATGCAAAAATGACTGTATAACAATTTTCCATTCTTATTTTATATATGTGATGGCTAAAATATTAAATAAGTGTAGGTTTAATACTAAATTTATTGAACTCGTTGAAAAAAATTAGTATTAAACCTACACTCATTTAATATCCTCTATGTTTAATATGAATTGTCAGAGCATTTTGCGCTAAAGGCCAGTATTGAAATGTAAAACATCGTTTTAAAGGTAAATCGTGAATTTCAGTTTTTTACAAAACCATATACTATTAAATATCAGCTGTTAGTAGTTAATTATATAATCCACATACGTTTACCTTCTTGTAGTTATAACGTTTTTATCATGATATTAACAAAAACCTCTTTTCACATATTTAATTGTTTATTATATTAAACAGATGTGAAAGGAACTAATTGTAATGGCTATTATTATCGAATAACATGGTGACAATTATTACGTTAGTGAGGAAGTTTAAATCCATTGACCTTAATATCTACATAACCAATAATATAAATAAATAGCCCTACTGGAAGTGTATTACGGTTGATACAACTGTTTTGTGAATTAATATAGAAATTTACCAGGAAATTATCAATTTGCTTTGTAGACATGGTCTTAAAAGCTCTAGGTATCTCTAAGTACTTTCTTTGTAGACACAATATACCTGACATTTCAAACTAATGTACTCGCTGTTCTTATACCCTCCCTTTAAATATGCATATATTTTGTGTTTTGAATAATTCCGGCTTGTCCCGGATTTCCAGATGTCGAGAATTCCATAAAAAAAATGCGGACCGTTTTTGCGGTTTTCAAACTTAATCATTTTCAACATATTAACAAAAAAAAATATCGACAGTTTAACAGCAAATGGAACAGCCTTCTGTATATACTAGCTTTTAAAATCTTCTCTTAAAACGCAATTGTGTGTCTGAATATTCTTCGTGATTACAATGTACCGCAATTGATCATGAACTGAACTGAATACACTTTATATTATTATAACACAACGCACTCAAAATAAAAATATAATTATTATGTTTTTTAACATTTAATGTTGTTTATCCATTAGCCGTTAGCGTTAAATGGTGTAACAATACTTTTTTTGACAGCCAAAACCTTTAAATACAATGACTTCTTGCTAATACAGTATAAGAACATTTAATTTGAAGCAACTACATTTATAACTGTACTTAGAGTTTAATATATAAATTAAATCTATATATGTATTTACACACGTTGCCAGGCAACTTACCGCGTACATGGTTGAGCTGGGTTATGATTGTCGCCTGTGTTTGATTTTGGCGGGGATGTGCACGTGAAAAGTATGATACATGTATATGTACTAGAGGTGTGTAAAATAATCATTCGAGGATTTGCTTTTCGGCTGTTCAGACGAGTTTTATCTTAACTTTTCATTTAAATTCAAGAATGAACTCGGACAGTTTATATGACATAAAATCGTATTTTGATGCTAAGTTTGCAGCTTTTAAGAAAGAGATATGCAAAGGAAGTGTTGCCAAAACTCAAAAATCCACTGTTTTGAAAAACAAAGGGAATCAGATACAGTTGGATCATAACTGTGAGCTGTTGGATTGAATTGTTCAAATTAGCGGACTGATTGACTCAGGGGAACACAGTGAGGCGCTCGAGTTGTGTGAGACTGCTAAGAAAAAGATTGAACGTCGCAATAAACTGATAAAACTGGCAGACAAGTCACCTAGTAGTTGGTTGACTGTACACGAATATGAGCAAGACGATTTAGCCAGCGATGATGAGGATTTAAAGAGAATTAAAAAGGCTGAGAAAGCAGCTGCGTCCATTATCAAACAGCGCAATGAAGCAAAGAAAGCGAACAGAAGGTTCATAAATGGTAAGTTTAGTTTAGTCAGTTGAGTCTGCAAAACAATTAAACACGTGAAAGAGTGTAAAGCTATGGGTGTTCTGATTGTACTAAGGTGGCTGTCCGCTGATTACTGGCCTATATTATTTGAAGATAACAGTTTTACAGGGAAAAACTATGTTAAGGATGTCTTAGACTTTTGCAACAGAAAAATAAATGTTCATGGTAAAAACAAAAGAACTCTTTTTGGTTCTAGAAAGTTAAAGGGATTTGTTTTGGCAGTCAAACTTGATTCCAGATCATTAAAATAATTATCACGTTAAATTTGTAATCAAGTATTACCGGAAGGACTATTAAGTTTCATGGGTAGACGGTCGGAAGGACCAAAGTCTGGCCGGAAGGGCCTAAGTCTGGCCGGAGGGGCCTAAGTCTGGCCGGAAGGGCCTAAGTATGGCCGGAAGGGCCCAAGTATGACCGGAAGGGTCAGGACATATGCTTATGTGCAAAAAAAAAAACGAAAAAAAAAACAACCTATTTTTGCAGAAATTATTGGAGATATGTTTTTATTACATGACAAAGATGATTGTTCTTTATATCATTTAAGATCAGTTTCAATTATAATCATAGGGTTTTCAGGATTTTGAGGATCGGAGAACTGTTAAATTTAAGATGTACTGATGTTATTACATTCAATGATGATAATTGAGCCGCGTCACGACAAAACCAACATAATGGGTTTGCGACCAGCATGGACTCAGACCAGCCTGCGCATCCGCATACTTAATACATGTATTGTACATACGGTCTAGTAAAACTGATCAGTTAAGTCGTGGTTCTTCAGTTGTTATTTCAAAATCAACTGTTGTTACATGTCCATATACAACATTACAACTTTATTTTTCAAATGCTGATTTATCAAACGATAGTGAAGAGCATGTTTTTCGGTCTTTACCTTCATGTAAGAAAACTAACTCTTTTAGATTGAAGAAATGAGGTTGCTTATCTTATACTCGAGTTAGGGAACTGTTACGTGAGATGCTTGTCGAAGTAGGCATAAACGCTAATGATTATGGGACTCGCAGTTTAAAACGCTGTTAATAATGTATGTGATAGACTTATTAAAAAGCACGGGGGATGAAAAAAAAAATAGTGAGCATGCGAAGGACGGTTATGTGTCTGAGGATATTAATTCGATTCTCAGCGTTTCTAAAAATCTAGGATTGTAATTCAGTTTCGTTTCAGTTAATAGCGTTATTTGTCCCGTACTTTAAAATTCGACGCTGGAACAATCGCTCTTAGCCAATTGAATATAAATTGTTTATTTGTTTTGTTGTAGTGTAGTATATGTAAGTTGAAGGGCTTAAGCTTGTAAATGATTTATGCTCGGTTGAAAGAATTGAATTAGAGCATAAATAATAATATTCATCTCGTAGACAACTGCTAAAATGGCAAAATTTATATATAACTTAGGTAGTAATCTTACAGAATCAACATGGTACATAACGTTTAATAATTAAAATCTATGAAATGCATTTGCTCGACTACCATATTTATGTAACACAGAGAGAGAGAGATGAACTATGTATCGGGGTTCGACGACGGTATGGGCTTCTTCGTCACACCTTTAGTGAAGTTTCCTTTTCGTTCCTCCCAACTTCTTTTTACATCCGCTAAAGTAATTGCTTTTAAAATGTAAAGCATTTGTTAACTATAATCATTAATCCCAGGCAAGTGGACACAACTCCGTATTACGACATTATGTCCATTTCAACAACTTAGTGCTAAATAATGTGGCCTGTACCACGCTTCATTTTAATGTACCATTTGACATAGTGCTTTGAAACTTTTAATACTTGTTTGTGACCACGATATCCTCTCTAAGGCAAAAGGGCATAACCATAGAATTTTGACAAAGAATTTCTCTCTTTTTTTAACATAAATGTACGCTTATTTATATCACCTTATTTATTTCCAAACCCTTATAGGAATTGCTTTGAAAATTTTGATAAGGGTAAGTGTACATTTGTGCGAGAAGCACAGACAGGCATTTTAAATAAAATACAGAATATACATTAACGTATTTACTCGACGGAGTTAATGTCGTACTTAAAGTGTATAAAGCTATATATCTGATGCAAAAATTATTGTTTTAATTTTAAAGAAGTATTCTCCCAACATGCTTGTATGAAATAAATATGGTCATTGATTGCCTTAAAAGCGAAATGCGCATGCACAAAATCAATGCTAAACGGATAAAACCCTACTTAAAATAGCAAAATAATATTTTGTTCCGGAACATTTTATTTCTGTTTACGTACGTTATTCGTGTGTATTAAATAACAGAGACATTCTATGTTATAACATTTTTGAGAATCTATCATATAATAATGGAACCAATATAATTTTACTGTTGATAAATTTTATTAAAATATTTCATAAGTTATAGATTTATACGCTTTAAACTGATATATGCAAAAGATGTATTAATTTTTTTTTTCAAAATCAAGTATTGTTTTACAAAAAGTATGTAATAACCCTTTAAGTCTGCTCTGGTTCCATGTTTAATAACTTATTATAGTAAGGCGCGCTTGCTTACGGACACCTCTTGCTTTATTTGTAATTAAAAGTATCCGTGCTATTTAAACACATAAGCTCATTAAATACATAACATCCTTGCTCTCTTAATTAACCATCATGTAATAAAGCCGCAAAAAGCTTGTTTACAACGACTTAAAGGTTTAATGAGCTGTTATTATACATGTTGATTAATTTGTTACTGTAGGTTATATTTTAGACAGATTAATATCCAATTTTAATAAATCAAACTATCAGTGGTTTAAACTTGATTTGAATTGTATTTAAAAGGTAAATCGTATCTTTAATATTTGTAAAATTTTTGGTTTATTTCCGCATAAACCAGGGGGAAAAAATTTAAACATTTTTTATATCCCTTTTTTTTGAATAAGTTCAAACTTTTAAATAATGAATTAATGCTGTTTTATTATACCAAACAACCGAAACAGGTATTTTTAAATTTAAAATTAAACCAAAGTCGAAAACAATACAAATGGGAAAATATCCCCCTAAAAATCGTATTTTTTGAGATTTTTTTGAAAAAAATTTAAAGGACAAGTATTTTTTGCTCACAAAATTTATTTTCCCGGGCGGGGCCTTTTATTTTAATAGTTTAAAACTAAAAATTTGGGTTTGGATAAAAAAGGGACTTTTTTGCCCGGGAAATTGGTCATGGCCGCAGCTCGGGTTTTAAATTTTAAAAATTTTAAAATTTTCACAATGAAACTATGCAAAACACTTTAAAGTAAAAAGTCAAACCGTTTAAATAAAATCGGGGAAAAAAAAATTTAAATTTAAATTTAGTTTTATGAAAACAATATCATTTTTCTACTGTTTTAAAACTGCATTTTTTTTGAAATCCCCTTTTTTAAATTTTTCAAAAATTCTTAAACCCTCCTCTTTTTTTGTGCTATTCTACACCCATTTTAAGTGAAAAAAGTGGGGGTTTTGGGGTATAAAGCATTTTTTAGGGGAAAATTTTTTAAAACCCAATTTTTTCAGAAAAATTGAAATCTTTTTTAAAACCAAAAAATTGAAAATTTCGACTTTTACACTTTTCCCTCTTAAAAATGTTTTTTAATGTAGGCTAATTTTTTTTAATGCATTCATTGTATGAGATATGGACATTGTTATGCCAAACATGTTGTATTTATAGAATTCAGTAGAAAACGTTTTGTTTATAACCAAGAAGGAAGTGACACAATTCTTTCTCTGATAATGTTTTACTGAAGTACCAAATGGCTAAAAGTAAATTATTAGTGCTTTCAAAAAAAGAAGTAGGAGGGAAATTACTAATGCTGCTTTAATAACATTCTCTTGCTGCTATATATAAATGAAACTGTCTAGCACACAGGCTTTAACTGTAATCATTTTCCTTTCTGTCACGTTAGAAAGAAGCCGAACGAAATAAATACTAATAAATACAAAAAAAATGGTTAAAGTGGATTAGTCTACAATGAGCAAATTGTCCATAAGTATATCAACAAATATTGAAATAAGAAAAGACATGTAACGTTTGGATATGCTTTTAAAAATATTCTTTAAAGTAAAATAGAGTTCTGGATGATATAAAATGAGCTTTTAAATTTTTGGGTTCAAAAACTTTTTGTTTTTCTTTAAAAGGTATTGGAATATCTTTTTAGTTTTTTCACAAATCAAAAAAATCTGTATTTAATTTCTTTTTTCGCCCGTTTTTAATAAAATTTTTTTAAAATTTACTTCAAAAAAGAATAAGGTAATTAAAAATTCCTTCCTTTTTTTTAAGTTATTCGATTGACAATTTTCTACAAGAACCTGCAAACGTTTTACATAAATGCGATTGGCAATGGTAATGATTTGGGCAACACTTAACTATATACATGTATAAACAAATCTTGCATTCTAATAATATCATGTTTCCCTGTGGCATTTTGGGAGAATAAAACATAATTCACCCAAAATGTTGTTTTATTTTAGAATCAAATTAATACGAGTAGTTAAAATATTTTTAATTAATGTTTTTTCCTTTTTTTCGAACCTGAATAGATGGTTAAAGGTGCTACAATCACATACTTCGAACCTAAAGGGGCTTTCGGATATCAATGAAGCGGCGTTATACCTCAATCTCGACCTTTTCCTTTCCTTTAAAAATCATTTTTTTAAAATAATGCCAATTACACTCGAAGTATTTAACATATGATTAAAGATTAAATAATATTTTAAGCAAACTGTTAACAGTTGTATGACACATTTCCATGTTTTTTATCCTAAATTTGTTAGTAATATAATGATATTAATTTAAAAAAAAAACTATTCGTTGTTTACTTTTATGTCAATTTTAAATTAGCTGTAATTAATGTTGAAACATAGAAATATTTAATAAGAAAACCATACTTTTCATGTCATATATAGTTCATGAATGGCATTATATACTTTGATTGATTGTGGAATTTTGGATATAACAAGAACATGAAACATCCTGTACATTTTTAAGACTGAA